ACCGACGGGAAAATGTACTGGAAAGTGTGCAATAACAACAACAGAGGCTTTGACGCTACAACATCTAACCTTCCCGCAAACAAATCACATTAAATAGCCAATGCTGTCTAATCTCCCTGCAAACAAATCAAGATGAATGCTCAATAAACAGGTTGTCTGGAAGTGCCCACTGACATTGCCATGCTTTTGTGGCCAAGTATGAACCATGAGTTCAGAGCTCAGCCACAAGCAGCTGTTCTCCTGGCCTCAGCTCCTGCATCTGCAATGTGGGAATAAGAATAGTGCTTTTCCTTGTAAGGGTGACTGAAGCATGTGAAGTACTCTGAACAACTGGATACATTCTTTGTATTAATGTTGTATGTATTATTATGAACTGGATGGGGGTGAAGTGTGAGGGGTACCAGGGCCCCGGGCACACAATTTTTGAGTGGGTGCGAACCAGGCGCCTCCATACAGGTGACCCCAGCGTGGCCTGGCCCAGTCCCCCATTTCTGCCCACCAAGGGCCGCGTTGGCTGGCTCCCCCCTGTGTAGGGGGCGGGGCGGGTAGGCAGCTCAGTGCAGCCCCGCTTTGCTCCAGTGCACACCCAGCGCAGGCACCGGCAACCAACACTACGTTGCTGAATCTGGCAATCTTTGGCCCACCTGTGATTCTGTTGCAGGAAAACTGGCTCTGCAATTCAAGGCCCAGTGTCCATTGCTGGAAATCTGCCTCTGCCTTTATTATGCCCCCCCACCAAGAAAAAGTTGTCCTAAGGCAAAGGACTGGATAGTTCTGCTCTGCTTGTGCTGCACAGCATAGTTCAATAGCAGCATGGCAATTTCTCTATGCCCACGGCTCCATCGCAGAGCACACGACATCAGCAATGAAACCAGTGCACATGTGTGTGTGCCTGTATAGACTGCAGTCTCAGGCTTCTGATCCATGGTTTGGAGCTCCTGCAATTCCCTGCCAAACTCTGATATTCTTTGTGTCTTCAGTGGGATGCTGAGCTGTTGTTTGCCGGCAGAATGGGTGAGTCTTGCTGTCAGGCACCCGACAGGCAGCCCTGAGTCACGAGCTGCTAACAACAAACCGGTTGGAGGACAGAGCGGGGAGCAAGCAGAGGCACGACACGCCTGCAAGCCGCTGCTTGAGCAGACCCCTTGCTCACACACATCCAGGGCTGGGCCAAGATGTTTTGCTGCCTGAGGCAAAGGACAAAATGGCACACACACACACACACACACACACACACACCCTTTCGATGTTCAAAAGGCAACCAGACAGACAGCTGGATCTTACCTTGGCACTGATGATAGGACAGCATGCTGCACTGCCCCTGAGGGCAGCAAGCTAGACCAGCAGGTGTAGAGCTGGCTATAGGGCACCTACAGGTCTTCCCCACAAAGCCTCATGGCTCCCCAGTGTCTGCCAGCGGAGGCGGCTGCTTTATTCTGCCCATTGTTAGGGCTGCATTGCTACAGGGGCCCAAGCTCTGCAGAGGCCCTGGGAGGAATTCCACACATCTCCATGGCATATCTTTTTTTAAATAGTTTTTTTATTAAATTTTCTAAATTACATTTCAGAATATTCATTTAAACAATTTTGAATCAATGACTTCCCTTCTTCTCTTTCAGTGGTTCGTTTTGCATACCATACAGCGCTGCATATTTTACATGAACTAAACCATTCAGTAATCCATTGTTACATCTGTCAAATCTTATTTACACTGTGAAATTATCTTAATGTTACCAGCGTTTTTAAATGAACACAGTTTTTACTCATATATTCCATAAACATTTTCTAGTCTTCTTTAAACTTGCATTTTTCTTGTTCTCTTATTCTATGTGTTAAATCTGCAAGTTGCCATTCTTCTTTGGTTGGGACCTCGCTCATTTTCCATTTTTGGGCTAACAAGACACGGGCTGCAATAATGGCACACATAAATAGTCCTTTTTGACACCTGGGAATTTCCCTCTGAATTATCCCCAACAAAAAGGACTCTTTTTGGAAAGGTACTTTTGAACATTTTTTCCAGTTCATTATATATCATTTCTCAATATTCTTTTACCCTTTTACAAGTCCACTACATATGATAAAACGTACCCTCAACCTTGTTACATCTCCAGCACTTACTTTCAAAGATAATTATGTAAAGATCTAGAATGAAATAAAGAGGGATATGGAGGTATAGGGAAGGATGAATTTATCTTTGTGGGGAAGGATCTCGATGATTAAAATGAATGTATTGCCAAGAATGCTGTTTTTATTCCAATCAATACCATGGTCAGAGGAGCCAGAATACTTTAAGCAATGGCAAAAGGATATTTCTAAATTTATCTGGCAGGGGAAGAAGCCCAGAATTAAATTTAATTGCTAACAGATGCTAATGAAAGGGGTGGATTCTCTCTACCACATTTGAAATTATATTATGAAGTGTCCTTCTCTGCTGGCTATGGGAATGGATAATGTTAAAAAATACAGATGTATTAGACTTGGAAGGGCATGATCATAGATTTGGTTGGCATTCATACTTAGGATATGGGAAAACGAAGGTACACAAAGGGTTCCTGAACCACATTATAAGGAAATCAAGTTATATAGTACAGGAAACATATTAAAATTTATTAGAGAATAAAACGTCATGATGGCTTTCCCCACTTGAAGCAATATCTGTTAAAAAAATTAACATGAAAGGAGAATGGACAATCTATAGAGAGCTGTTAACTGAAATGGAAAATCAATTGAAATTGGGAAAAAATCAATCAAACTTTTGAAGCCCAAAGGTGATCTATTCTGGAAAAAGAATTGTGAATAGAGAAGAAAAATGTGAATTGGCGTTCTAACAGGTGCTTAAAAAGCCATAGATCAATCAAATCAAAGTTGGACACCATATTAAAGAACGCAATTGGTAGTTTCCCTTCCTTTGAGTCAGTTTTCCTTACGGTTCTGTCTGCATCAAGGGAGACCTGACATATCTTTAACCTGTAAAATAAGGCACCCATCCCTTGCTTCCATCCCTTCCATCCCTCCACACCCAGTCTGAAAAGTGCCAGATTCTGCCTGGAAGTGCACTGATGAATCCAGAAAAGGGGTGCCAGTAATAGCGCCCCCCCTCATGTGGAAGAGCTGCACAGCCGAGAACGGCTTCCCAGAACACCTACGTGGTGCCCCCCCTCCCATTCTTTTCCTTCCAGTCCCTCCCCCCAACTCACCTTTCCATGAAGTCCACAGCCTTCTTCCTCTTCCACAGCCTTCACCTCTTGCTACCTTTGCGACTCTTCATCCTTGCCTTTGTCAGCAAAGGTTACAGATAGGTAGCCGTGTTGGTCTGCCATAGTCAAAACAAAAAAAATCCTTCCAGTAGCACCTTAAAGACCAACTAAGTTAGTTCTTGGTATGAGCTTTCGTGTGCATGCACACTTCTTCAGATACTTCATTCTGTGTATCTGAAGAAGTGTGCATGCACACGAAAGCTCATACCAAGAACTAACTTAGTTGGTCTTTAAGGTGCTACTGGAAGGAATTTTTTTTTGTTTTGTCAGCAAAGTATCACAAAGGAGGGACAGCAAAGGAAAGATAGCAAGGGGTGAATCCAAGGAAATGTCCTTAGACAGGGCTTGGGCCTGGCGTAAATTGGGAAGGAGGAGGACATGGAGCCAAAGGCTTGTCCTCAGCCCAATGTTTAGACCCACGTGTTGCCAGCAGTGGGTGGTAAAATGTGCTTGTTTCTGAGCTGTACCACTTCTGGTGCCAGTTGAAGAGTCACATAGTTGAATGCTCTGCCATGCCAGGGGAAAAATAAAAATCCCCATACACAGAAAATGTGTATGTGGGGGGCAAGGCTGGCTTGTGAGTGTTCTCCTGGACTTATAACTGTGCGCGGATCTGTTTGTTCACATAGCTTTCAATATTGGGAGCACTTTAATTCATGTGAGTCCCCACCTGCAATTCTGAAGTGGTACAGTCCAAACATCTGCAGTTTGTGGGAATGGTGCCAGAGTGAATAGTGCTTCACCCCGTTGATCTCCGCGTGCGTCTAACTCGGTGGGCTTTCGATCTTCGCGGGCCTCTTGGCTGGGCTGTCGGCTGCAGCCCATGGAACTGAAGGGGGTAGAGAGTCTGGCCCTGCCTCTATTATTAGGTCGCAGCAAAGCACACAGCTGCTCTTGGCGCCAGGTGTTGCCGAGACAAAGCAGCCGCCCCCCTTCCCATGCTGCCATGGGGCTCAGCTCCTTCTGAAAGGCAGAAGTGGGAAGAGGTTGGCTGCAGCAATGGGGGAGAAATTGCCCTTAGGATTCTTAGTTCGCACTTTCTGAAAACAATATGGGAATTTCACAATACATGAAATTCACATTTATAAACATTTGTATGCAAATAATATGTACAGTGGTACCTCGGGTTACAGACGCTTCAGGTTATATATGCTTCAGGTTACAGACACTTCAGGTTACAGACGCTTCAGGTTACAAACTCCGCTAACCCAGAAATAGTACCTCAGGTTAAGAACTTTGCTTCAGGATGAGAACAGAAATCGCACGGCGGCGGGGCAACGGTAGCAGGAGGCCCCATTAGCTCAAGTGGTGCTTCAGGTTAAGAACAGTTTCAGGTTAAGAACAGACCTCCAGAACGAATTAAGTTCTTAACCTGAGGTACCACTGTACAAAGATACTTATAGTAGGGGGAAGTATGCGTAAAAGAGCAGGTGTGATTATTTTAGCTATTTATTAAGCAAATGTATGAACTACTTTGCAGCATAAGGCCACTGAACTGGTGTACAGAGTGAATAACAGACAATGTTAGTGAAAATACCACATACAAATGTATTTGAGTTGCAGAAATGTAGTGGACTTGAGCTTAAGACTGGAGAAATAAGAAACTGAGAGAACCTGACCCTGACAGATTTGTTGACCACTAATTGGGGGGTGTAGGGGGTGTCCCACTTGATCGCTTTAGAGCACCGATTCCCATGGTGCTCATGGCAGCCACTAACTCTGAGCGCCTCTCTTCTCCCACAGTTGCAAGAGCTGGTCCATCTCCTGCCCCTCATGAAGCCTGCCCTTTTGAAGCAGGGCCTACAGCAAGATCAGAGGCTTCAGGTGCAGCCTGGGAAAAACCAGCAGGAGGTGCTCGCTGAACTTGACCTGGAGGTGAGAAAAGCAAGGGGGGTTGAGGAAGGCTTTGACCGCCTTCGTTCCTTGCATTTAAAGCACAATGAAGCCACTTTAAACCATTGTGGCTTCCGCCAAAGAACTCTGGTTTGTTAGGGGTGCTGAAAGTTGTCAGGAGACCCCATTCCCAGGGTGCTTTAACAGTCAATCCCTCTTACCAGGGAACTATGGAAATTGTAGCTCTGTGAGGTGAGGGGAATAAGGGTCTCCACACCTTTAACCAATGACAGCTCCCAGAATTCTTTAGGGGAAACTTGTGTGTTTCAAGCAGTATCATAGTGCTTTTAAATGTGTGGTGTGAATTGCACTTATTGGCCTTTGTCAGTGCAGAAGGGTTGTGCAGTGGGGCAGAGCGGCGGCGGCGGCAGGGAATCAAGAAGCAGAAAGCATGGTCCGCTGGAGTGTGCAGAGTCCAGACTGACAAAACGGACAGACTTTTGTTGATGTGAAGTGGCTGCAATCTCCAAATAGAACTTGATTTAGTAAATTTGGAGACTTCAACCAACCTCTTCAACCATGCCTCTTCAACCTTGTGGAGATGGGATGCATAACCTTTGGAAGGGCCTGTGGAGACCCTTCCCTCTTTGCAGCAGAATGAGGAGTACGAAGGTGCTGCAGATCCAGCTGCCCCTCCAACAAAGCTGGGGGGGGCTGCCTAGAAAACTACTTTGCGCCCCTCTAATAAATCTCACATCCTTTTCTTGTCAGTTTGCTGCACTGCTGAATTATTCTTAAATTTAGGTGGTTTTATCTCTTGCCCTCAACTGCCTCCTGGCAGTTTAGAGCTACTGTCCTGCGCTCCATGTCTAAGTGACATTACTGCTCATCTCTTTCCATTTGTAAAAATCCAGCTGGAAACAAATTTTAGCTAGCTAACTGGTTTTCAAGCATTTAACCTTCAGGGACACATTTCCACGTGAACATGCTTGCTTGCTGTGGAACAGCCTTTGCTCATCACTGCAGATTATTTGGAGGAGTTGTTCCAAAGTCACATTCTCAGTTCCTGTGGGGCGATGCCCAGGCCTGCTGACTCTCACTGTTGAACTGAGACTGTATCAGAACAGTCCCAACACATGATGGAGGGAGACTGGAAGACCTCAGGGCAGTACTTTGAAGTTAGCTGATTTTAGGGGCTTCCAAGTGCTGTGTCACCTGATGTCATTGTGACATGGCATGATTGACAGGTGAGTGGGGTCACCAACTCTTCACATTTGATGTACGGGTGGGGGAGGATGGGAAATCAGGATCTATCCCTCTGGCCAGACCTAGCACCTGGCACTTGCTCTAGATGAAACTTATCCAACCCACGTCATGCCTTCCTTGCAGAGGAACCATAGCTCAGCTGTGGATCTCAGAGCGTCTGAGGTCCAGCCTGGCATCTCCAGTTAGAAGGTGACGGAAAAGACCTCTCTCTCTCCCTCTCTCTGCCAGAGTTTCTGGGGAGCTGCTGCCCATCAGAGAATACTGGGCTAGATGGACAAAGGCAGCAACTTCCAATGTTTATCCGAGATGCTTTCATGAGGTGTTTTCGGAATATTTTGCAATTTGTCGACATTCTTCTTGAATTACTGGATGCAGTATGCACAAAGCCAGACTTTTTTTTGATGACGTACCTGTACAGTGAGGTGGAACATTTTGATCATGTGAAAGGGTAGGAAATTGTCAGCTATTTCATTAATTTTATTCTACGGAGAAGCATCTTTTCTCGCCTTGTAGATATAAAATAATAGCACTTCACAAAATAATTGGGACATGGCGAATTCCAGCTGCAAATGTTTTGAAGGGGAAATGACAAAACAGCTTCCTCCTGAAGTGGTCCCAACTCCCTCATGTTTTGTTTTGTTTGCGGGTTCATTCAGCAACATCTCATTGACACTCTGTGGTGCAATACATTGCTGCATCAGTGGTGGATTTATACTAGATTTGTCCACACATCATTCTTCTGTATTAGTTGTCCTGAGATGCTTCCCCATTGCTGCTTGGAGGGGCAGTTTTGAGCTATAGCGCAACAGAAGTGGGACGGTCGCCACCTCTGCCCCAGAACATCTGCGCTATGAAATGTACAGGATATCAGCCGGAAGCTACAGTATACACACTGACTGAAAATTAAGTAGTATTTGCACCCAGAAACTTTTGCAGGCACAAACAGTGTTTAAACTAGAATTGCATACTGTCACGAAGCACAAATAATCATGAATGTACAATGAACGGGAATTTGGGAGGGGCCCCCAGTCTGTGAGAGAACACATCCGCATGATCACATAGTCGGTCGGTTAGATTTTACTAGGTGCTGATGTCATGGAGCCAGAGCAGTGGGGGTACCATCCTTCCTGCATTCACATTGATGGATGAACATTTTTAATCCTGTTTCACTGGCCTTCCTGAAAATTCACTGCCATGGATGCGAGCATATGGGAATCAGTTTTCTGTGGAGTGGATGTTGTTGTTGCTGTTAACCCCTCCATCCTCTGCATCCTCCCTCCCATTTCAGCTCAGTCTTATAAAACGAAAGCCTCCAAAGTTTTTGCCTAACCCCATTAGCTGGTGCTACATCATTTTTCTATCAGATGTTTCATCAGGGTTGAAGAGAAGGGCCAGGGCGTTCTAGGGGGAAGATATATCCAGCTGCGAGAGGTTTGCTGTTAAGGGGTTTGTTTTTACAGGCCTACAAAGGATCTCTTTATTTCTCGCCAGCATCAGAAGTTTGAAGTGAGGTCCACGTGGCCTTGGAGCCGGGGCCTCTGGCAGGAGGCATCAAAGGGGGAGAGGAGGGACTGGAGGAGTAGGAAAAAGCGCCTCTTTATTGCCAGCCACTGGGGCTTGTTTGCAAAGGGAAGCCGGGGAACAAGAGAGTACAGAATGGCTCTTTGGTGCATGGCTTTTAATTGCAGGCTGAGGTTGAAGGGAAAGGAGGGCAAAGTGTTGAGCTGCCGGAGCAAAAGCAGAGAGATAAGCAGGCAAAGGGAGGGATGGAGAATGTGCTTGGGAAGAGGGACTGCCTTGCGGTGCCACACGGACAGTCGCACGCTTGGGTGCAACCACCTACCAAGCCTTGAGCTGGATTTGAGCCTAACATTTCACGTAGGACTAGATGGTGCCAAATCCAAACTCATAATGACTTTGTATTATTATTACTTTTAATTGCATTTATATCCCACCTATTTCTCCAAGATCCTCAAGCTGCTGTATATGGTTCTCCTCCTCTCCAATTAATCCCCACAACAACCCTGTGAGGTGGGCTAGGCTGAGAGGCAGTGCCTGGCCCCAGATTGCCAAGAGAGCTTCATGGCCAAATGGGGATTTGAGCCCTGGTCTCCCAGGTCCTTGTTCCATACTCTTGCCCCTCCACTTCACTGACTTGCACAGTAAGTGTTCACTTTGTTCTTGAATAAGTTATTTATCCTAATTTTCCCTTATTTTGTTCATTTATTCAGATTTTTTTAGCCCACCCTGCAATAAAGGAATCTAAAACCACCACCACAACAACATTTGATAATAACCCCATAAAGGAAAAAGCAATAACAACCAAAACATCATCCAGTAGAGAAATAACAGTCTCACCTTATACCTGGCCTACATATTAACACCCAGAGCCTGGCTGTGCAAATAAAAAAGTCTCCAGCTGGAGAGAAGAGGGACGGCACCATGGAGCAGGTGCTTTGCCATGTTGCTGTGGAACAGATCTCAGCTGGCTGTGGAACACCCCCCCCCCCGCCCGCCACCCTGGGTATCTTAGTAGGCGAGCAAGCTGCTGCGGGAGGAGACACTCCTTCAAATATTTAGGTCCCAAGTTGTGTTGGGCTTTGTAATGTATTAAAAGGTAAAGGGACCCCTGACCATTAGGTCCAGTCGTGTCCAATTCTGGGGTTGCGGTGCTCATCTCGCTTTATTGGCCGAGGGAGCCGGCGTACAGCTTCCGGGTCATGTGGCCAGCATGACTAAGCCGCTTCTGGCGAACCAGAGCAGCGCACAGAAACACCGTTTACCTTCCCGCTGGAGAGGTACCTATTTATCTACTTGCACTTTGACGTGCTTTCGAACTGCTAGGTTGGCAGGAGCTGGGACTGACCAATGGGAGCTTACCCCGTCGCGGGGATTCGAACCGCCGACCTTCTGATTGGCAAGTCCTATGCTCTGTGGTTTAACCCACAGCACCACCCGCATCCCTTTGTAATGTATTACTTCGCACCAATAACGTGGTCCTGTAGCATATTGACAGTAGTAGCAGCCAACGTCAGATGGCTGCATCGATGACCTGCTTTCCGATGGCATACATCGCTTCCGGTGCCAGCTCAGCTGTACACCCATTTTGATGCTCATGCCACCTCACTGTGCCAAGCTCCCTGCTGCCCTCTCCCTCACCGATGCCTGGCATTGGGAAACCGGGGCAGCAAAACCAGCACCTATTGATTGGCAGCCGGTGGAGCTGCTTCAGGAGAGTGCTAGAAGATCCCAATAGACTAATCCCTACAAGAGCCTGGGGACTGAATTTTGCACTAACTGCAGCTTCAGGCTGTCTCCAAGGGCAGCTCTACATAGAGTGCATTACAGTAGTCCAAGAAAGCCCTTGCTTTTCTCTGTTGTTGTATCAAAGGCTGGAAACTTACCACAGCCTCTCTTTTCTCCTCACTGCTTGGCTCACCAAAGCAGAGGGCAACAGAAATAAAAAGGGACATTCTAGCCAAGGGTATTAACTGATCTCAAGTGGAAAACAATCTCGTTTCTTCTGCAGCTCCTGTCACTTATATACTGAAACAAGAAATTAGAGGTTTTTAGCTGTACAAAGATCCCTGGACCTAGAGAGTGTCGTCAGCAGGCAAATCTTTTCTCATGTGTAAGTTATTCCATAACCTCACATAGAAAAGTCAGCAGTTCCGTGGCCAAGTATGCAGCAGGCAGGCAGGGCACTGTCCAGAGGGTTTCAATGGGAGATGAGTGGCAGATGTGTCTCCAGCACAGCGAGGCAAACCTGAGCGCAT